TTTGGCTTTTACCATATTTCGCTTAGCTAGCTGTCTATAGATTCAAGGTTAGAAAGCTGATATATTTCCGTCTGGTCTTTTTATAGATTTCCAATATGTAAGTATTTTCCCTGACGATGCTTCTAGCGAAGAACCCGGAGATGAATTTCATAAACATTGTCATGGCTTGTCGAGGCGTTAAAATTTATGAGGCACGGGACCAGGCATTTGAGATTCTGAAATTAAATGAATCTCTCTATTTTCGAAGCTAGAAATACTCGTACATAGCTTTCGCTAAGTATTTCTAGCTTCAGCACTGGAAATATCAGCCAACGATAACGGGATTTACTGGTATATATTCATTGATTTAAATGTCCATAAATGAGCCGCTGAAGCCCTATACTCATACTCTGGGACCTTCAATGGTTTGCGGACCACATGTAAAAAACACTGCATCAGATGATATTCGTGCAGATAACTGTACTAGGTTCGCTCAAATTGGATCACATGTTATGTCTAGGCATATGAGGCATACAGAAACATTTGTTGTATACTAACATCTCAACATAACTTTTTAAAGCAATTCCCAAATTATTTTTTCAGCGTTGTGGAACCATGGGCATTCAGTCAGCTGATTGCCTACTTCAAACCAGGGCAAATCACCGTTACAAGAAATGATGCTTATGGCTACGCATCCATAGTGCTCTCTCTTCATCTGTTCAAGACATTCTACAGCCACAACTACTCCCTCTGGATATCGCAACTAGGGATAGAGATCAAAACAGCACTCTCCTCGCTACTTTACAGGAAAGCTTTGAAATTGACACCGTCAGCCATCTCCGAAATAAGTCTAGGAAACATCGTGACCCTCATCACGAAAGATATAAGTACTTTTCAGAGGTCTATATGGATTATAAACGAGTTGTGGATTGGTCTGATACAGACGATGATCGTCTGTTACTTGCTGTACAATAAAATTGGATATGTTTCTTTCACTGGCGTTGGAATACTTTTGGGTATAGTGCCCTTAACGTGTGAGTATATATGAGCGAATAGGATGGATAGGTCATCAATCGAACAAGATATAACATAAATATGAAAGTTATTACTATCCCAAATTTTCCTTAGCAGGTTTCTTTATATTATAACATTTTTCTTTCTTATGGATGAAATGTGCTGAAGGTATCGATGAAAAAGCATTGCCATTCAAATAATGTGAACTTTCACTACCGAAGATAACTGTGTGAAAACTATTTTCCGGGTTTTTAGCCGTGGTTTACAAGTTATGGTACCTGACGTTTCGTCTTTATTGAAAAGAGTAGAGATATGAAGTTAGATCCTGGAGATTCCCAGCCGATTTAACCTTCTTTTCCGCTCACTGTTTATATATAAAGTATAAGAAATCAGAAATCTTCTCATAATTGAGGAAAAAATTTCAAAACGACACTCTAATCCAGCCATTACTATCCATTACTATCCAGGTGGATGCCTTTGTGGTCCAGCGAACCACGAAGGAATTTTGTTAACTTTAATTCATATTTTAACAAATAGTACAAATAAGGAGTCATGTTTTCCTCTACTCAAGATATATTATATTATTACTGAAAATAATGTGTTGTGTGGGAAATACTAATGGTTCAGATAACAAAATGCAGCCCTCAGAAAGGTTATATTCCCGCTGTGATCTCTCAACCATCTTCAAGATTGAAAGTAACAAGCAATTTAGCTCATTCCAGTTGGTACTAGTCTCCCTGAATGAGTTATTTCATATTAAGTATGTAAAAAAATTGTGGAACAGTTTTCAGGGTAACCCATTCCTACGTAAAAATCAACTTCTTGTCAGCCAGGCTCTTCCCATAACAATCCACAAGACAAAAATTCCAGATAGAAATTATAATAGGGTGGATCCCTATTTGAAAGGTCTTTCAATTCTGTATCCAACCCTGCAGCATTTTCAAAAATACAACTATGAGCATCAGAGAAAAATCAAATACTTTTTCAAGTTCGCACTTCATTTCGAACTGGAAAGTGAACACCATCAAACGACATACAACGATATAAAGAAGCTTCTGTTTGCCCCCCTCACATTCTGTGAAATATCAGGTATCAGTAGGTGAGTGGGTCTATTCGACCCTACACCGCAACCCGCAAGGGTTTATTGTGACTCACACCTATTCACACTCGACCAAATGAACCCAGCTTCTTAACGAAGACGATTAGTTTGTATGGTGAATGGTCTTACAGGTCAGATGGTAGGAATACGGCTGTGCCGAACTCTAAAAACCTGATTTGGTCCCAAACGGGACAGGCACAAAGTTTATGCTCTGCTGTTTCATCGTTAATAAGGTAGTTGGATAGTCAAGGTGCAAGATTCCCATCTTCCCGCAACAACGTTCCCTTATGAAGGTGCAGGGCTTTTTCGCCTCTGGTTTTGAGCGCAAACGTTTGCTAACCTGCTCATGGAGGGTTCGTTCCTCCACCTGAGACAGATTCTGCGTACGCCGCTCAAGAATTTGGTGCAAGGCGGTTTCATAAGGTACCCCTATCTTGAGGAGACGACTCAGTCGTTTCCTGGCTACACCACCAAACCACAAGTGATTCTGTTAGTCCCGTATCCAGCAGGGCTACGTGGAAGCAAGCATCCGATGGCCGGTTTGCTCAACCTCTACATACCAAGCCAATGCACTCGCCATAAACAGCATGCACAGTGGTTCAGACAGTTGGAGATGAATAAGGACAGCCAACTGGTCTACAGTCTACGGCACCTGCTAGTTTCTTCCAGAAATATGCAGCTGTATTTCGCAGACCTTTTCATTTCAACCATCCCCGTAGGAAAAAATCCAGCCAAATCAGGAGATCTGATAGGCCAATCTATAGAACCTCTTTGTCCAATCCATTGAACCGAAAAGTTATTTATTCACTTCATAATTCGGAAAACTGAAATGGGGATGATAGATGTGAATTTGGCGAGAATAATTTAGCCATTCAGATGAAAGGTAAATTCATCCAAGGAACATGTGATGTACAACAATTTCGGATTGCGGCTGACGCTATCCGAAAGGATCCCAATCGCAATGATCTCCGTTCAATTCATGAGTCATTTTCACTTCGTAAGGGTGTGGAATTTATGTCGATCAATGATTCTGAAAACGTTTGTACGACTCACTCTTGCTGCTAGGACAAGGACTGCATATTTTCCATTCAAGGCAAAGTGGTCTAGAACTACAACATTTATGCATTCGTTATTAACTATTCCATGGATTTATGTAACACTTCCAATATAGTGGACTGTGCAAAAAATAAGGTGAATGTTTCACAGGCTATGTACATTTGATTAGCTAGTTTTGTATTTTTTTGTTGGTAAACTCTTCTCAAATATATGCTCACAGTTTGAGCTGTTTAGCATTTTTAGTTTGTTAGTGGAAGGCACAAAAGGTAGAAGTGTTTTGCTTGTTTGGTAATTTTCTGCTATCGAGGAGATTAGATCAAAGAATATGTATCTAATGTTTTACAAACAGTGGAATTATGTGCTCTAAAACACTCAAAATTTCGACAGTGGCATACACGGATTGTACTTTGAGTCAGAAGTGCCGTCATCGTACTTAAAAAGTGCGCCAATGAACTGCCACCAGTATTTTGCAGACTTTTCAACCTGTCTTACAAGAAAAGGGGTTTCCCTCTTGTTGGGAGATTGATCGCATTCAGCCTATTCCAAAAAAGGCAAGAAAAATCTTCCAAATATTTATTAATAGACCAGTCGTTTCGCTATCAGTCATATGAGAAATCATGCAGGAAGTCGTAAACATCTTGAGCGATCATCAATATGGCTTTCAGAGATAAAGATCAACAGGCGACTTTCTATCGTATGTTACCCATATTTGGAATCGCAATCGAGAAACATGGTGAGTCAAGCGCTATTGCGTTTGATATTTCCAAGGCCTTCGACCGTGTGTGTCATGAGGATTTGCTGGCCAAACTTCGATGCTATGGCTTGTCGGGTCTTTTTTGTGTATGGCTCTCCAGCTTCCTGAAAGAACGTTTCCTGAAAGTGTTCCTCAGAGATCCATATTGTCTCCAACCCACTTTTTATTGCATATCAACGACTTATTGGAAAAAACAAGAATCCAATATATCGCTTTGCTGACGACAGCACCCTTGTCGTGACATTCCATTTGGATTCCAAGACATCGGCTGTGGATGCACATCTTCACCAGCAGGAGGAAGTTGTATATTTCAGTGAGGATCTAGAGATGTTTTCAAATCGAGGTAAAAGTATTCAGGTCCAATTCAATGCCATGAAAACCCCCCCTGGGCTCAAGTATCCATGAAGGACAGGCCTGAGAATGGAAAAGCCTTTCACGACTGATGATACCTATGTCTGCCGAAACAGCGCTGTCTGGTGTTGAATCAGAAACGGTCTTTGGTCTTTATTTAGTTACCTGGCAGGAAAGGCAGATAACAAATCTCTTTCGGCAATCGATTTCGAAACTTGGTTTGCGACTAAACACCTTTTAGAACCTCATCTATTTTTGACATTCAAAGATTGAGTCTTCTATTGATCCCATAGATTGCGTGTATATAAGAAAAGATGTCATCGTCAGGCTTGTTCAAAGGCAATTGATTAGATCATCATTGGTTTAATCTCAACAGAGTAACACATATTTTCCTATGTTAAAAATATATTGAATGGGGAATGTTCCTCAATGTGGGTTATTACAGCAAATGCAAGTTTTGAACTAAATGAAGTTGAGTTTCATTCATGAGTTTTTAAAATTTACTTGGAGAAGTATTCAAAATGATGTTTGAAATGTTGGGTTTTAATTTTTAAGGGGATTTGTTTCTAATTCACATATTGGCAACAGCGCCTATATCAAGTTGAAATAATTTATACGTACCTAGATATTCTACTTTAAAAAAGGAAATTTATCTTTATAAATCAACAATTGAGGCAAAATATAAATTATAATTCAGTACCACCTCCACAAGCCACATAAACAACAGTTGTTTTGTTATTTATTTATATAGAGGAAGATAGGTTAGGTGCACAAAGTGTCATATGTCACAGAATGTCTCGGAACTCGGAACATAAGTAAACAGAACAGCACGCCTCTGAAATATGTCATCTTTGTTTGTCTCATACGGAAAACAGATTCATTGTCCTTTATTAGCTATAACCGATGTTGCCAGTTGGTGAAATAGAAACGAATCCCTTTAAATGTTGAATGCACTATTTCATTCCTCTTTTTTAAGTATTCAAATGATTTTTTAAAGAAAAAGGTTGAAATGATAAGTTTGAAATGCGTTGTTTCAGAGCTCTTTCATGAAAACTACTTGATTTTCGTCAGGAGGAACATTCCCCATTCTCGCAATACCTTATCTAGGTGAGAATCGAGGTTCTATAACTGTGTAAAGTTCTTTCGTTTAAATTTCATTGAACAAAATATTCGTGTATTGTCTACTACTTCATTTTTTTATTTTCAGTATAGAAGTCAGTAAAATGATGTGGGTTTTCTATCTGAAAGTGGTAATTGTCATGGCTGGCATGCTGTTCTCCAGTATAGGACTCTACATTCTCATCATGTCCCTCAGTTGGTTTGGTTACGCACCCGAAACAGAGCTGATATTCTATATACTATCGATTTTCAAAGACCTGAACCACGTCCTAGGAATAATCATACCATGGGGTTTGGCTAAAGCAGCTGAAGTGTACGCTTCCATCATCAGAATCAATAAAGTCTTGCTGGCTGAGGAATTACACCAAAAGTACGGGTCCGATGAACCTACAGACAAACCACTCGTAGAAGTGAAAGATGTAACGGTACATATCAAAGATGTAAAGATCCTCAGGAACGTTTCCTTCGGAACAAGAACCGGGCTGACGATAGTTACTGGGGCAGTTGGTTCAGGGAAGAGTTCTCTGCTGAAAACGATTCTTCAAGACTATCCGTTGAGCACTGGAAGTTTATACACTCATGGTCGGATCTCTTACGCTTCTCAAGATCCATGGTTGTTTCCTTCGTCCATCAAACAGAATATTCTATTCGGAGAAAAGTTCAACGAGAAAAGGTAAGACGAAGAAAATTATAATGTGTCTAGTACACAGTGCGTTATTATAGAACAGTGCCGTTAATTTTTGGAAACACAAAAATAGAAGTAGGATGAAACCTATTGGAAAAAAAAGAAAATATAGGAAGAATATGAGAAAAATTATTTACGGAAGATCAAAGATCGAGAAATGGAGGGGGTGAGTTTTGAAGGGTGAAAAACAGGGTATCGCGATTTCCGATGAAACAACAAGTCCTTTGGAAAAGAGTTAAAAAGCAAAGTTGTAGGTAATAAAAAGATCTACAACTTTTGTCTAAACCTGACGTTTTGTACTACCAAAAAAAACTTAGCCAGTAATTTATTTGGTTTACCAATGGTGGTAAGGGGTGGAAAAGGCAACCCCAAAAATGTATTTCCTATGTAACTGTAACTTTCTGTCTTATTATTTGTTCACCATTTTAAAATTTATTTTCGATAGCCTGTTTCATTCTTAACAAAACATGTCTCTTGGGTTTTTTTCCCAAAATGAACCAGTTCGCAGCAAAAAATTATTCTACGAACAACTACAGAGATACATCGTCATAAATGCGAAGATACGAAACTAATCTATCTAGTAGGTCGCTATTAGCGATAGTGACAATTAAATTGGTATGACGCTGTCAGTTTGTGAATTTTTGAAATTGAATTGATACCGCCTGATTGGAGAGGCGAACATCATATGCAACCTTGATAGCCTGGAACATCGAAGAAAGGTTAGAGATTTGTCTCTCTTCTATAGATACTTTCACGGGAGGTGTTCAAGTGATTTGTCACATTTGATTTCACCAAGACTCAAACCAATAGACCTCAAACTTCACTGTTCAAGAACTCTTTCATCTGGAAAACTGCATTTATATAAAATAAACCTTCTCAGAACGTTTTCCCGAATGGATTTAATCCCCAGTGATTCAAATCCAATGTGAATCGCTACTTTTGCACAGGCACCGATCAAAAAGAGCCTCAAGGATTTTCCTGTAGTGCTTGTGTTTTGTCCTTAAAAAAATAATACACTTGTGACAGCATTTTTTTCAATACATTTCTGACATCCATGTTTTTATATGTACTTGAGCTCTCTCCGCGATTCGGTCTTTATCTCCTCAATTTTCGCAAAGCCGTCCTTTCATGGGAGCAGGAAAGAGTCACAGGGCCCAAATCTGGTGAATACGGTGGTTGAGTTATGATTACGGTATTGTTTTCGGCGAAAAAACTACGAAAAAGCAATGAAAAGTGAGCAAATGCATTCGAAAGCTATGAATTGTTTTTCCACAATACCAAATGTTTTCTTCGTATTGCTTCTCGCAAGCAACGCATAACTTCAACAGTATACTTGTTGATGACCGTACGACCATGTGTCGAGAACTCCTGATACACTACGCTACGGTAATTGAACTTGGCCAGCTTTTTTGGTCTTGGCTCTCCTAGACTTTTCCATTGGGACTATTGAACTTTGGTTTGGATATCATAACCATAATTTCCCAAAATTTTCGAAAAAATTGCATGACATGAGCCAACCAATATGCTGATAGCCTGAGCAACTTCTCTGATAGTGATTCGATGCTTTTCCATTACACTTTTCCTCACTTTTTCAATATTTTGTTGTGGAATTGGCCGCGGTGGTAGTGACCCCGACTCACGATCGGAAGGCTGTGGAATCGATTCCCGCCCCGACCAGATATTTTTCTCGAGTGAATTTATCTATAGTCCGTTCATAATTTGTCGATAGCACAAAATGAGGGCCCAAGTCACAAAACGGTCGTAAAACTCGTAAAATCATAGGCGGAGGTTCCTGAGGTGTTCAGTTTATATTCGAAACTTGCCTTGAAAGGGTGAAGTTGTTACGAACGAAAATAATTTTTGGTTTAGTACATTTTTTAATCGCATTTAATTTACGGCTCGTTGGTGTTTCGGCGTCTACGGCAGTAATTAACGTCTCTAATATTTATTTTGCGAATTTTGTGCAGTGCGTGAGTAACTTTTTTTCATATTCCTACAAACATATACGTACCTTTCGTTCCTGCTTGTTTTGTTTGATTGCTTGCGATGGCTTCGTCATCATCATCANACACTGGTCACTCATTTCCACTCAAAATACCTACATAATCGGATTAAAAGTTTTATAGCTGTATTGTATTTCTTCAGATACAAGGTGGGTTAGTCGAAAACATCTTAAACTGCCAGTTTTAGTTTGGTTTTTGTTATTATATCATATTTGCTGTCCTCTCTGTATTTCAGTTCTCTAATGAGGGTCAAACTTGCAGTGAGCTATCAACAAATTATGAACGGACTATAGTTGAAGCTGGGGTGATTCTGCAATCGTGTTAGAAATCACACGTTTAAATGTAAGACCTCGTTAGTCCTTAGCTCGCACAAGTTTCTCAACTTCTGAGAGTTATCATTCGTATGGGGGCGACAGCTGATTAACGGAGAAACAGACAGAACATATTTTAAACAGATTTTTTAAACAGATTTTTATCGGTTGTTGATGTGCGTTCAGGACAAGCATCGTCATTCACATCTTCTCGACCTTCTGTGAGAATCTTGTACCATTTTAAACATTTTTCTGACTCAGAGTACAATCACCGTATGCCACTGTCATCATTTCAAGTGTTTCTGTGCACTTGATTTAATTTTTACCCAAAATTTAATGCAAATTCTTTGATATATTTTGTTCGATAGCAGAAAATCGCCGAATACGCAAAACACCTCTAACTTTTATGCCTCTCACCAACAAATTAAACAGGCTAATTAGCTGAAATTGTGAACATACGTTCGATACGAGTGTACCAACATGATAAATAAAAAGAAATGCTAGTCGAATGTACGTAGGCCGCGAAGTTTGAACATTCACATTATTTTTTCGAAGGTCCACATGTAAACCCTTCATCTTGTTCGAAATTTCATAAATGTCTCAGAAGATTTATACAAAATTTAACGCTAACAATTTGTTCAAGGTACGCAGAGGTCGTTCGAGTGTGCGCCCTGGAGTATGACTTCAGCTTTTTCGAGAAACGGGACGAAACCATCGTTACAGATCGAGGTCTCAACTTGAGCAAAGGCCAGCAAGCCAGAGTGAATTTAGCGAGAGCAGTGTACAAAGAAAGCGAAATTTACCTCCTTGACGATTCCTTAACTGCTCTAGACGCTCACGTCCAGGACCACATTTTCAGAGAATGCATCCAAACATTTTTGAAAGACAAAATTTGTATACTGGTTACACAAACTGCCAGTCAAATAGAAAAAGTTGACAACGTAGTGATGATGGAAGATGGGCATATCAAATACCACGGCAGACCCAACGAAGCGGTTATAGATAAACTGAAAGAGATCATTCCAGAAGACGACGACTTGGAGAAAAAAGAAAAGTGTGTTGCGGTTGAAGAAACTGCTTTGATTACTTCCAAGCCACCTCTGGAAACCGAACAACTAACTAAAAAGAAAGTTTATAGTGAAATCCAGAAGAAAGGGCAAGTGGATTGGTCTATTTATATGAAATATGTTGTTTTTGGAGGAGGATATTTTTTGATGATCGTCAATATTTTATTGTTCGTCACAGCTCAAGTTTTACAGAGCTACTCTGAGAAGTTACTAACTAAATGGTAAGTAAAAAATTATTACAGTGTGTAGATTAAACTTGAGCAGTTTTTCATAAAGCTTTGTATGTTGACATACCGCCGAGGAATCATTTTTTTCTTGGATGAGTGAGTTATCATTTTTATGTAAATCTTAAACGAGAATTTTGACCTCTGTTGGATTCATGCTTCTAATTTCTTGAATAATATTAATAATCTCCTCAACTACACTTTCAAAAAAGATATATACTATACTAAAAATGTATTTGAAGATCAGCACAAAAATTGGTCTCTCGGGATTCTATGAGATTTCTTCGGCTTCTTCAACCTTCTTGGGGTTCCCTCCGTGGAGGTGCACAAGTGAGGCAACCTGCAGGGGCAGCCGGTTCCTTGTCTTTATTCAAAGCGGAGCTCTTGGCACCCGCCGCAGAAAGTGCCCTTGCTGTTGGAGGTGGAGTGGGGGAGGAGGAGGGTGCACTTATAGTTGCTGTCACTCCTGCCACCTTTGCTCTCTTTCTTCTTTTGGCTTTGGCGCCGCAAATGCGCTTACATCACGAGGTGATCTACTATGCCCAGCATCATTTCAAGCGGTAGATTGGGTTGGACATTTCTGTTCATCCCCAGCCACCGCCTTAGATTGAGGTTAGCACTTCTGTTCAGCCTCGGGATTGGTTTTTGTTTTTATTGTTTCTGTTTTTGTGTTTGTTTCATTCACGTGTGTTTCCACGAATAGCATGGGAAGAGTTGCTCACCTCTGGCAGAGCCCCGCATTACCAGAGGTGGGCTGATTACAATGAGGTTTCGCCCCCCACATAGCAATAGATATTCCAGGAATATTTCATGAATATACATTTGAGGATAGTTATAATTATTCGAGTAAGGTTATCGAAAACTATACACTATAAAATAATATACATTGGCAGGTAGTTGTTGAATAAATTTTCAGGTAGTTATTGAACATATGTACAAAGAACAAAAAAATAACAAAAACAATTAGTATTTACATAGCACAATACATCACTTNTAATTGAATAATTTCAAAACCAAATAGACAAATACGATGAGAATAAACCGATTTATTAATACAAATGAACCAATTGCCTATTCAATTTTTTTTATCATTTCCAACAGTTGGAGTTGGAGCAATTCATCAGAATCTTTGCGTTGAGTTCAAAAAGTTGTTACCACTATCAGGGTTGTATACATTAGGTTATGCATTCGATTAAAATCTTCATATATTTTTGATTTAAATAGTATTGAATTATTTGAATACGTTATCATAAGATAATTCAAAATTCCAGTGATACATCGTATAGAATATTCCAAAATATACCGTGGGGATATATTCTAAGAATATACCATATTGTATATTCGATCGACAATATTCTTGGAATATTCACGGAAGAATAATCCATTTATAGACATTATATGCACATTCTTTGGGGAATAATCCTGCCATATTCATTCAAGCATATTCTAGGAATATTGTAAAGGCATGTATATATTCCAAGAATATTCTATGAATATTTGGAATATATACGTTCGTTTTATGACATAGAGGTTATATTCCATGAATATCTGGTGCTGTGTGGGCCAGTTCCCCAAGGGGATCGTTCATAACCGCATATCCCCCTGTGGCCATTCAGCTGTCACGATTCCTTACGCCTTTGCTTGGGTAGGCTGGTCCACGGTGTCATGTTCTGCAAAGTTTTTTGGGGGTTTTAGTTCCCCTCACCCTACTTATTTCTGCCAATGACCAGGAGTCCTCCGGCGACCCATCCGTAAGGCCACATTGGTTTCCCGGACAGGGCCTCCAGTCCCCTGGCCGTTCCCCTATCCACCACCTGGGGACGCGCTCGATAGGTAGCCAAACCCACGGGGACAGAAACACATGTTGGGTTTGTTGAAAAAAACCGTTATTGGTATAATTTTACTGCACCAAAGGTTCCAGACAGTGTATCACAAGTACAATTCTTAAGTTTGAAATAGTTTTCATTGTTGATATTTGAAATGTTATTGACTTTTAGGGTAGACCAACAGCAGAGGGTTCTGGACATTCAAAAAAATTTCACGCTGATAGAGGGGAAGAGGAAAAATTTGGGTTTGGATGTATTATCGATCGAATCGGTGAGCGGTGGTACTTACCAGGAAGCCTTGGCCAATGAACAATTCACTTTCAAAATATGGACGTCCATTATATTTATATCAATAGTATTGGGTCTGATAAAAACCTATGCAATATTCAGTTTCTTTAAAACGGCAAGCATAAATATTCATAGGGCGATGATTAAAAATATCATGGAAGCCGTTATGGCATTCTTCGACACCCACATGATTGGAAATATCCTCAACAGATTTTCACAGGATCTCACAAATGTCGACGAATACCTAGTATTCATGTTCATGGAGACATTGAGGGTGAGTAGGCATTATTTTCCAATAACATCATGAAAAGTCAACTGTAAGGTTGTTTGAAACGTATTTTCTATTTTTTTTTTGTCCGTGGTCTGCATGTTTTCAGGCCTGACGTTTCGTCTACTACTGCGGTATCCGGTGGATAAGTTCGCAAAAATTACCGAAAATCTTCACGCTATTTCTAATGTAGCAAGCCTACTACTGATATCTAGTTATCACTACATAGATTATTTTGATATTTTCTCTGTCTCGAATAGTAGACTATCCCAGAAGTCTGACCCCTCTGGACCTTAAGGAGGAAGCGTTAATGGCCATGTTACGATTGCGTACGGCTGATGTAAACTTTGAAGTAGGAATGGGTCCATTGAGGCTGAACCTATGTTGAGAAGCGCTTACTGCGCAACCTCTGCTGCAGGCAACCAGTGATGCAACTGAACCCAGGTTTGTGTATAATAAACCCTACAAAATACGAATAAAACAGAACACAGAGTCAAATGCTACAAATGCAACACTAATATATGCATACGGCTCGAAAACCAAAGAAGGCTCAGGATGTGGAGTGTACTCCAGATCATTAAGCCTAAGGATTAAGTGGGGAATGGGAAAAAATACCAGCGTGGTCCAAACAGAACTGGCTGGTATATCAATCGCTAGAAAAGAAATAACCAGGAAAGGAATTTCTGGCAAAAACATAACAATCTGCACTGACAGTAGACAAGCCTGAATTAGCCTTGAACAGACAACGTGTTACCTCAGGGCTAGTACTAGAGTGCCACCAAGATTTAGCCAAAGCCTCGTTAGATAATAATATTATTATGAGGTCCGTTGTAGGGCACGACAGAAGTAAAGGTAATCGCATTGCCGACTCTTTAACCAAGGAAGCGGCTGGACTAAGAATTTTAGGACCCAGTGGCAGTCGATGACTTCGACAATTGCGAAACTAGCCAAATGTTACACCCATGCTCAATCCCTAAAGAGATGGGGTGGAATCAAAGGATGCAGTCTTGCCATGATCACCCTGGGCGACCCTAGGAAGCTTACGCCAAAGAAATATCAGGCGATGACCACGAAAAGTCTACGCTTAACAGTAGGATTTCTAACTGGCCACTGTCAACTAAGGAAACACCTCCATAACACACACCACTTGAAATAACAACAGGTGTACCCCGCAAGGAACAGTTCTAGACCCAATTATTTTCCTTGTTTATATCAACTCGATAGCAAAAACAAAGATTTCCAAGGAAATCTTGTTTCATACGCTGATGATACGGCAATTTTGTTTACTGATAATTACTGGGATAATCTGTTCAATAAAGCTGAAAAGGATCTTATAAAAATTTCACAATGGCTAAATTATAGCAAGTTGTCTCTGAATACGTCTGAAAGAAAATTTATAACATTTTCTTCAAATGTCGATACTCAACCAAACAGAAATTATATTATGATTCATAAGAAAACATGCACTCAACCAAATTGCAACTGTTCATCTATTCAAAAAACCATAGAAATAAAATATCTTGGCGTAATTGTCGATCAACACCTTAAATGGAACGCGCATACCAAATATGTAAACAATAAAGCTAGCAAATAATTCGAAAATTTTACATACTTAGGTACATTTTAGACAATCGTAATCTTAAACTTATACATACATCTTTTTCTACACCCGTACTCTAACAATACACTTATATGACCATAATCCGTTTCATAATGATATCCATTATGATACAGATTTTTCATAACGATACAGATTATCAACCAATAGAAACCCATAATTTTTCAATCAAGAATCCTGTTCCTTTGTTTGTCCTAGATTCTAACCTAAGTAACTAATTGCTTTATTTGTCAAAATCAGTTTTCATATTACCTACCTATANATATTTTACTTTGTCAACAAAACAAGAGTTTTTTGTGAATTAAGTTTTGATTTGATTTGATTTGATTTGATTTGAAGATGAGATTGTCAGGCATGTCCTATGCGAGTGCCCGGAGTTATCGTCAATAAGAGAGTGTGTGTTCGGCGAGTCTTGGCCTACACCTGCCGATATAAAGGAGATGTCTCCCAGTGACCTTGGCACCTTCCTGGAAAGGATAGGGTGGACGATGACCTAGGAGGACAACTCCTCGGGAGGATGTACAATGGGTCACGTGTGGCCTGAGTACTGTGAGCTTACACTCACCCTCCTTACTCTACAGATACAGATGATACTTATATTAAAATTCGAGCAATCGCTAATATTGAAGGGATTCAATTCGTTTGAGATGCTTGGTATATTTGAATGCCTTTTGTTGTAGTCAAAACAAGAAGGTGAAGTTACCGTTTAACATTGATTGTTTTCATCTGATAATTGTCGAATGGTTTTGGCAGTTTCAATTCTGTTCGTGAGTGAAGTGTCTATATATCCTTCAGCGACATCGGTAGACTTCCATCCACCGTGTCTCTTCAAATTTGTGATATTTCCACCATAATCAGCAAATAACGTCGCTGAAGTTCGAGGAATGCTGTGGCCAGTGTAATTTTTAGAATCTGCGATTCTTGATCCGAGATTCCCAAAACTGTGGATACTGTTTTTGTAATTCACGAATAATCTGTTATGTGGAGTATGAGATGGCCGTAAAGATACATATTGCCTATACAACAGCAGGTTTCTTTGCCCAACCCCAATAAAAGTTCTCTCGATATATGTTTTGGATTCAGGTATTTTTACGAACATCATGTCTTCCTTGTCATTTACTAAATTAATCGACATTTTTGTTAGTTCTTCCCGTCTACACGCATCGGCTAACCCAATTACTGTTACTACTCGGAAAGTACGTACTTTCGGTACTAGGCCGAAAAAATGCTACTCACACAAATAAAAAGCGTCCAAGAAGTTGGCACTTCTGGGACGGTTGCCAAAAAATTATATTTCTATTAATTGCAAATCTGTTTTAGGTATTGTTGATCATAACTGGCATAGTAACGCTCATTTCCATTGTCAACATTTACTTTCTTATATTCGCATTTGCATGTTTGTTGATAATGGTTCTTCTGAGGATGCTCTACATACCAGCTGGCCGGAGCCTGAAAAGATTAGATGCGTCAAGTGAGTAGTTTCCTTCATTTTGAGGAGTTTATTTCCTAATTACACTCGTTTCACATTTTGAGAAAAGATTGTTCGCGAAAATGAGCCAATGCAAAGAATTTTTGGAGAGAAAAAATTAATAACAGCATAAAAATAGTAATGGAGGGAATCAAATAGTGTGCTCGTTACGGATTGTTATTATTATTATTATTATCAGACAAGATTGAAACAGAAAAATTAATCAACCTTGAAGTTATTGAAATTTCAGGAATGAAAAATATATGGTTATGACATCGAAACTAAAGTTCAGTCGTCCCAAAGGAGGAGCTCAGAAGAGCCAAGACCAAAAAAGCACGCCAAGATCAAATGTCAATGTTTTACTCATTGTTTTCTTCGATTACCGTGGCGCAGTGCATTAGTAGTTCTTGCCACATTGTCGTACTGTCAACAAGAACTATTATCGTGAGGTTATGTGCCGCTTGCGAGGAACAATACAAAGAAAACGTGAGGAACTGTGGAACAACAATCCATGGCTTTTGCATGAATTGATGGCTGTATGAACCTGCTCACTCTTCATTGCTTGTTCATAATATTTTGGCCGAAAACAATAACGTAATCATGCCTCAACCACCGTATTCACCAGAGTTAGCCCCCTGTGACTTTTTCCTGTTTCCAAGATTGAAGAGACCCATGAAAGGATGGCGTTTTGCCACGATTGAGAAGATAAAAACTGAATCACCTAGAGAGCTCAAGGACATATCAAAAAGTGCATTTCAGAACTATTTGGAGGATTGGAAAAAACGCTGACACAGGTGTATTATGTCCAAGAAGGGCTACTTTGAAGCGGACGAAGTCAAAATTGACGGGTAAATAAATATTTTTTGAGAAAAATGAAAGTTCACCTCATTTCCTGAACAGACATCGTATATAAACTTGTAATAACTTTGGTAACCTTGTAATAACAAGGTAACCCAACACTGTCCCCACTTATTTTTTCTATTTCAATCGATTCAATTTGCGATTAACACCATGTAACTTGCTCAGGTAGTAGTGATAGTTCCACCTAATCAGTTCCTCTTTGATTTCAAAAGGTGAATGTTTGTTCAATTCTGCTTTTTTTAGCTCGAAGTCCGATGGTTGGTCACTTAAATGCATCTCTCGAAGGTCTGACGACAATAAGGGCGTATAAAGCTCAAAGTATATTGATCGATGAGTACGATCGACATCAAGATCTATACACATCCGCTAACTATACGTCTGTAGTATCTTTGGAAGCCTTTGGATTTGGAATGGATCTTACATGTACAGTATTAGTCACTGTTGTTGTGGCTGTTTTTCTTTTCAGTGATTCAGGTATTGGTCTTTCACTATTTCATATTATATTTTCATTATTTTCAAGTTACATTTTCATTTGAATAATATAATGAATCGGTATTCATGAAAAACCACAACATCATTATAGGAACCGAGTTATGGTTGAGTTGCAAAACAGCCATCCCTGTCACCTCGCCTTCTCTGAAATGTATTCAGTTCATTATTATTATTGAATGATAGGAGAATGGTTTGAAATGCTGTCTCGAAAATAGAAGAATCATAACTGAATCAGTGTACATGACTCCATCTTTGTACAAAAAAGGTGAGATTTGTCGAAAGACAGGAAGAAAGCAATTAGGTTCAAAATAAACTTTCAACAAAGATGCTTGCAACTCAATTTCAGATACAGACTGTAGAATTCCTATAAATGATATACGCTCGAGCTAATGCTCGTTCTCTCAGAAATAAAAGAACATCAGGTATTGATGAAAAGTCTGTCAAAATCTTTGAGACACTGCCAGATTGTGTTTTGAACGTTCTTGTCTCATTGATAAATGATTCCTTTGTGAATGGCTCATTTCCAGAATTTTTAAAAACTTCTGTAGTGATTCCGCTCTTCAAAGGTGGTGCCAGGGATGATCCAATAAACTACAGGCCTATATCACTTGTTCCGACCTTATCCAAAATTATTGAAAACATCATAAAAAAGCGGCTAATTTACGCTCTCTATAATGGTAACATATTGAGTCTACAGCAGTATGGGTTTCAAAACAACAAAAATACAAGTGATGCAATTTTTAACTTTCTGCATAAGATTTATAGTGATATGAATTCTGGTGCCTATTCAGCAGCTGTATTCTGTGACTTTTCCAAAGCATTTGACCTCGTTGATCACGGAATCTTACTGCTGAAGCTGAAACATTATGGTTTTGAGCACAGAAGCATTAGATGGTTTGAATCGTACTTATTGCATCGAAAGCAATTGTAAGACTCTCAACCGACTCAAATGTAGGAGAAATCAAAGCAGGTGTTCCTCAATGTTCCATCCTAGGACCCATCTTGTTTCTATTGTATATTAATGATATAACACAATAATGATATAACACAACTAGATCTAACTGCTAGCATCACATTATTTGCACAACGTTGCTGTGGCAGGAAAAAGATCCTACAAAACTAGCACAAGATGCCAATGCAGACATGGAATAAATTAAGAGCTGGTGCGACTCAAATAAGCTTTCTTTAAACTTTGATAAAACCCATCTCCTCACCATCAAATGTGAACTCTCACCTCTTAGTTGAATAACAACATTCTCGAGATGAAATTGTCCTCCAAATTCTTAGGACTTCACATTGATAATAAGCTTAAATTTAAGGATCATTTTATGAAGTTGAATAAAAAACTTGCATCTGGCTGCTTTGTAGTAACGCCACTTTCGAAGGAACTGGGTATAACCTTTGCAAGATCTTCGTACTTTGCCTTATAAGATATGGTATTGCCTTCTGGGAAGTATGCAGTAAAAGCATGCTGCAGACTGTTTTCGTTTTACAGAAGCGAGCTGTCCGGTATGTGTGCGGGGCAGAGTTCCAAGATCACTGCAAACCATTATTCATTGAACAACGAATTCTGACAATAATATCTATTCATTCTTGAAACAGTAAGTTTGATTCATAAAAATATATCTGCTCGTGATGATATAAACGAGCCACACTATAATACATGTCAAGCTAACTTGATCAGACTTCCCCTGCCCAACAACAATGGTGAAGGACTCATTGATATACAATGGAATAAAGATGAATGTTTTCAGGAAAAAATTAAGCGACATTCTGATTGATATATTATAGTTTAGATGAATTTTACAATGACAACGCTTTTTATGAATTTTAGTTGACTACTGAATGTCACTATAATATAGCATATTTTTTTTAAGGAAATTTTTTGAATTTTACACCCTATTTTATATAAATGGGCTTTTAGGAATTACTTTTATACTACTTTGACATGGTTCATAATCGTTTGTCAACAAGAACTCTTTCTCAGGACAGTAAACGTATTTCTTTCTCTCTCTCTCTCTTCACTTAGATATGAGATTCGAATTTGATCCTGTCTGGAAAACGAAATTCATCTAGTATAACTTCAGAGACTAATGAATTTTTGATTAGTTCATAAATTCTTATCTCAAGATTCTCCTGAATTATTTTCCGTACTATTTACCTCATCTTCTCATTTTACCGTTTCCAAAATCACTGTATCGTTCATCCTTTGTGTTGGACTAAGGGCCGATTTTTCTGTACACTTTTGAGAAATATAACTAAGTGCTTGACTGCTGCTTCAGTCAAGCAACTTAGTGTGACTAATTTTGGCTTAGTTAGACTTTTAATGAACCGATCCTCACTCTACAACCTCCTCTTCCTTTACAATTTCCATTTAACATATGGGCTGAAAAATCCCGGGCCTACGAAACCTTCTCATTCGAATAACCTTCTCATTCGAACAGAATTTCTCACCGATGAGCAGTTTTTCGAGGTCTGCGAACAGTCAGTAGTCGCTGGGAGTTAAATCTGGCGAATATAGTGGATGTGGGAGCAATTAGCAATGTTAGGCCCGTTACTTTCCAGCCCATGTAGTATTTACTAAAAATTATCATTATTGTTTATAGGTTCCAGTGCCGGTAACGTTGGTTTAGCCCTGGGCCAAGTTTTTATGTTATCGGGAATAATCCAATGGGGAGTAAAATCATGGGCAGAACTGGAAAACTTGATGACGTCAGTGGAAAGGTTGCTAGAATATACAGAAATTATTTCTGAGCCACAGGATGGGTCGGAGGTTGAACACTGGCCTAGCAACGGAGCAATAACTTTCGAAAAAGTATCTCTCACTTACAATAACACCGAAACAGTGTTGACAAACTTAAATTTCAAAGTTGAACCGCGGCAAAAAATCGGCATAGTGGGCAGGACAGGAGCCGGCAAGTCATCCATAATATCGTCAATTTTCAGGACGTACAACGTTGATGGCAAAATACTAATCGATGATGTCAACATAAGCACCTTATCCTTGAAGTTTCTGAGAAAGAAATTGGCGATAATCCCACAGGATCCCATTTTGTTCACTGGAACCATCCGCACCAACCTGGATCCTTTCCAAGAATTCAAGGACGACCTGCTATGGAAAGCTCTCGAAGAGGTTAACCTCAAAAATCTTATAACGAACTTGGACTTGGAGGTAACGAATAGCGGCTCCAATTTCAGTTCGGGTCAAAAACAACTAGTCTGTGTTGCCAGAGCAATTCTGCGTGAGGCAAAAATAGTTATTTTAGATGAAGCAACTGCCAATATGGACAATGAGACAGATGCTCTCCTCCATGACACCATTAAAAAGAGTTTTGCTGGGTGTACGGTTCTCACTATTGCGCACAGATTACGTTCTATTTTGGAGTGCGATAAAGTTATGGTTCTGGACAGAGGCGAGATCAAAGAGTTTGATAGGCCACAAAAGTTGTTGGCTGATGGAGACGGAATATTCCACCAGATGGTCGAAGATGCAGGGCTACTTGATCAGACGAAATTATGATATTGTTAGTTGTTTAGAGTAAATAAATTTTATTTTAGTTATTGCTTGTATTCGTTCCTCTCAGACCAGAATGGAAATTCTAGAACTGACATCGATGAAAAATACCGAATTTAAAACACAGCATTCCAAAAGAGGACTAAAATTTTGAAAAGTGACACAAAAAAATGTCTCTCTCAAGAGAATTTTCGAAAATTCAAATACCATGAAATAAATTGCATTCCAAGTTTCAGTGAGGACATTTCTAGAGAAGCTTAAAGCTTTACTGACTGTTCATCATGAACGATTCAAGACAAAATTTTCAACTAACATTAATGATTCTGAACGAGAGAGATATTTGCCACCTTAACTTTTCATTTTTTTTAATTTGATGTAGTATATATCTAGAAAAAACGTTATGTGGAAAATTTACCAAGAAAAAATTTTTCAACTCTTTTCATAACAATTCATAACATTTGTTATGACGTTTACAATTTTCACTCGAAATTTGATACTTTTAATGAAAGGGGGTATAAAGATATCATTTCTATGTACCAACATCTGCAGACGAATAGTTCCGGCACTTATAGAAATCATTATCAGTACTGAAATAAATCATTTCAACCTTCCCGGTTACGACTTTTATTCCGATTCAGATATAACTAGAATTATCTTCAATAATAGTTAAAACTGGAATATCTGCTGTGAACTAGGTAAATACACAAAAAACTTCTCCCAAACACCAGAAATCGAATGTGCTGTGTATCCTTTGAATCGACGTTGAATAGCTCGCTTAGTTTGACCAATATCTTTTTGATATCTCCGACCATTTATTTTCAAATATGTGATGTGGTTTTTAGAGTAACCTAACATTTATTGAAATGAGGAAGCAGTTTTGAAGGGTACTTTCACGTTCAAATATTCAAAAATGCGATCTAAACCGTTAGTGTATTGGTTTATACGAAGCAACAATGAACTTGAAATCAGCGTCTCTTATAAAAGTAAAACATTTACGAAAATTATCTCTGAACTCATGTTTAATCTATTATATTAGAAGGATCTCCATGGGTTTCAGCTATGTCCTTGATAACATTTTCCTATTAGTGTTACGTTTTCCCCGTGGGTTCGACTGCAATTGACTACATTGTTCAATTAAACTCAACTTTATTTCAGTGCACCACTGACAAGGAAACACAACACTTCAACTGAAACTTCAACTGATACTCAAATGTCTATCACTTTGTCCCGTACTTTCAACTCGACTTGCCCCATTTGTCTGTTGGTAGTATTTACATGTCGTAATGGAAGTCTCTGGAAGCGACGCGACATCTAGAACGATCAAGAAGCGCAAGTCGAGTTGAGCATGACCTTGGCCAAGTCACAGTCGATTGACAAAGACCAGCGGCGGATAGCGTTATTTTTTCAGGGGATAATTCACTGCAGTATTGTATCTTTCTTCACTCGATAGCAGTGTACCGAATCTAAGAGCTTGAACTTTTATTTCTGCCTCTTTATGTGGTGGACAAAGATATGAAGTATCGGAAATATATCTTAAAGTTCTGGTACTTTTCCTATAGACATCAATTTCGAAAACCTGATCACTGCTTTCCTTTTTTACAAATTTGTTTCGACATTACTTTCGTTTTTTACTAATCCAACCGAATATTTCATGTGATAAAAATGAATTTGCAAAGTGCATATTGAAGATGCCCTCTAAAAACGTTAGACATAAAAACTAAAATGAACTTCACAAGTTCATGTTAATCATGTTCGAATAAAGGATACTTTTAGCAACTGTCTCTCAACATCTACATGAATATCATTGGAACAAGCCGTGAATATAATAAAAATATATTAATAATAATAATAATAGGTCTTTATTCCCAGAATGATACAATAAACGAACTTACCTCAAGTGAAGTTCGATCTTCATTATATGAAACGCCTTGTCATTTTCTACTTTTTAATAAGCCAAAGCAATGACAACAATAATAAATATTGAAGGTTACATTACTCTTTGAAAATTACTCCCAATTATGATCATTACAGCAGCTGACTTTGAAGAAAATGAAGTTGACACTGTTGACAGTTCATGAACAGGATATTGAGCAGGCTATTGTGAGAGATTGGGGTAATTTTTGTTGGTGAAGAGCTTTGAATTTGTGTAAATACTGGGAAAGAGGGTAAAACAGAGTGTAAAACATTTGAGGAGGTGATTCCTCATCGAAAAAAGATAAGATTTTTCATATAAAGAAATTTCATTGGAGCATATCTTGTTAAGATACAGCCCCTTAAAGGGGAGATGCATCTCAATAAGGGATGCTCCAATGAAGTTTCTTTATGTGAAAGATCCTATCTTTTTTTCGATGAGGAATCACCTCAAATGTTTTACACTTATTCAGTTACACCCTGTATAATCTCTCTCTCTCTCTTATATTATTAGCCGTTGCTTCACACTCGGGCGCATTTGGCCAGGCTCCTCCTATCAAAGTTGACAGGAGCTTCGTCGGGGGGCGCAGTGGTCATGCGCGAAGCAATGCTGCCAACTTTCTTGTCGAACTTTTTCATCATATATTTTCCATATATACAGCCCCTTTACGTGGTTATCCGAACCACCCCGTCCTGGATACCGATGTGAATAAAGAAGGTCCCTTATTCTTCACTTTTTAAAAAACTCTCACACATTTCAATAATTACCACAATGAAATAACACAACACAAAACGGAGCCCTACGTTATCAGCATGTCCGTCCAATACCACGTCCAATGATAATTGGTTTTTCTTCTCTTGTTCAAAGCTATTGTTGCTCCTAAAAAAATAACACCTGCTGCTGTGACTTGGCCAATGTCGCGCTTAACTCTTCTGGTACTTCTCAGTCGTTCTAGGTGTCGCGTTGCTTTCTAGATTATTCCTGTCGTTTTTCGAAGACTTCCATGGGGATCTGTATCTGTAGAGTATCTGTATCTGTGTAAGCCCACATAGACCACTTAGACCACATGTGACCCATTTTACATCCTCCCGAGGAGTTGTCCTCCTATTCGAGTGCCCGAGTGAGTGGGTCTATCCGACCCTCCACCCACTTTGGACCTAGGCCACATGTGACCCATTTGTCAATCCTGTCCTTTCCAGAAAGGTGGACAGGTCACTGGGAGACAGCTCCTTTATATTCGCAGGTGTAGACCAGGACTCGCCAAACACACACTCTCTTATTGACGATAACTCCGGGCACTCAGATGAGCAGCCACAGTCCGATATGTACCGGCTCTTGGTGGAATCAAATGTGTCAAATCACTTGAGCCCTCCCGTGAAAGTATCTATGGAAGAGAATTAAATCTCCAACCTTTTTTCGATGTTCCAGACTGACAAGGTTGCCAGTGATGTTTGTGTCTCCAATCAGGCGAATGGCCCTTTTCTGGATGGAATCCAGCAGCTTCAGGGTATGTTTGGGGGCGAAGCTCCATACATGAGAACAATACTTCAAAGAAGGTCTCATCTGAGCTTTTTGAAGCATCAAAAGTGATCAGAGTGAACTTCATAAATTTTTTCCATTCAATATTCAATATGAAAGGTAAAATAAAACACCTCATACCAGTATATATCCAAATTTTGTACTAGTGTATATAATTTCCATATCAAACAACTAATTTAAGTAGTTGAGTAGTCCCGCTTGTTTAACCAATGCGTAGAAATGCCCTTCTTCATTTTCTAACAGAGTGGCAGTATTATCAAATTCCTTGATTTCCCCTTTTTCTAAAACCAAAATTTTGTCACATTCCAAAATACACTCCAATCTGTGCGACACTTTGAAAATTGTACAGTGTTCAAAATTATTTTTCATGACCTCATTCAACAGAATATCTGTTTCGTTATCCATATTAGCAGTTGCTTCATCTAAAACTATTATTTTAGTTCTGCGAAGAACAGCTCTTGCTAAATAAATGAGCTGTTTTTGACCTGAACTGAAATTTGATCCACGGCTTTCCACCTTCATATTCAAATCATCGATAGACTTCTTGATGTTTACTTTCCCGAGAGCATTCCAAAGATCTTCATCCGAGAACTCATTATAAGGGTCTAGATTGGAACGAATGGTTCCAGAAAACAAGTGGAAATTTTGGGGAATTACGACGATATTCCTCCTGAGGAATTTCAGAGACAATGTCTTGATGTCAACCCCATCGATTTTAATTTTCCCTTCGATGTCGTACAGCCGGAAGATGGAAGAAATCAGTGATGATTTCCCTGCTCCAGTTCTTCCAACAATTCCAATGTGCTGACCTGGTTCCACTCTGAAGGACACATGCTTGAGGACCATTTTGCTCTTATATGACAGTGAAACGTCTTCAAAATCAACAGCTCCATAATTTGGCCAATTCTCTACAATATTGCCGATTTCTGATTCTGGGCTCGCTGAACTATATTCTAAAACTCTTTCAGCTGAAGTCATAAGCGTTTCCAATTGTGACCATCTTTGATTCAAGTATCGTATCGCTTCTCCCATATACATGATTTCCATAATAGCAAGTCCTACATTGCCAGCACTGACATCTGAAAATACAAAATGAAATGAATTCAAACAATTGATTAGGAAGGTTTTCAACGAATCTTATCAAGGTTTTCATTCACATTTTCTCTTCGTTATGTGTAAATCTGACGAGTGTGTCGGGAGGAGGAGGATATTTATCTCTTCCTACGTTTCAACACCGTAAAATCTGGCAAGTATCTATCGAAAACATCTACGACGAGGACACAATTGGAATTGAGAAGAGCGGTAGTCTAAACAAGAGAGATGACGCATGTTACCTGTCAGCGGCATGGAAAACCATCTCATAATAAAATCAAGATCAGTGCAACAAACACATCATCTAGAACAGAAAATAATGTACTCCAGAGATCCAGTCGAGCGGAATGCATCACCCTTATTTTCACTAGTTCGTCCTTTAGTTGGAAAGCAATTCTGTACACAGACTGAATGATGATTTTTTCAGGTAAGATGAGGGACTGCCAATGGGATCGCCACTTCCACCAGTTATAGGGAACATATATATGTTGTTCGGAACTCTGGCCATTGAAAAAGCCCACAAGAAGATTTCAATATAATTGCAATGAGTATTGAAGGATCTGACAATTCTGCATAAAGGAGAGTTTTTTCCGGAATTGGTTTTTCTGAATGGGGTTGCGAAGAGATCATGGTTTCGCAAGAAGAACCACCGGGCAGAACTTTCGGAACAAGGAAATTTCCGAGAAGTTCGGTGAAGGACAGCGTTTTCAAAGCAAAGAAAGCTTTGGAGATGCTGGCGAATGTGAACTAGGAAGTGATGCAGCACAGGTCGTCCGACGCCAGGCGTCGCGATGCCTCCAGGGGGGGAACACTTAGTGATCCCTGGGAGGAGAAGGGTGCGTTGCCGGTTACTGACGACCTAGCGGAAGTGCTAGGCGGTGGTGGAATGCCAGGGGGTCACCCTGAAGCCGAGAGAAGCTTGGGGGTGGCCTCATGGCGGTGTCAGTACCTCCATAATGAATATCAATTCCCAGAAGAGCTATCTGAAGCAAACCAACCTCCCGTCGTACCCAGACAGGAACTGAGTCCTAAAATCCCTGGGGCTCAGGTCTGGGAGGCCAGCCGGCCGTCACGGCGAAGAGTAAATGTGGTCGATGGGGGCGGAGCCGCGGGGCACGCCCCCTCAAGAGAACCCTTATACCTCGATGGAGGACATCATATACCCTTCCAACCGAAACCAGAACGCTTTCCACCAAGCATGCACAACAACGACCAATCAGGCAGACAACATGGGGACATGTTATAGACTAGTTGAATTACATAAACCCTCTAGCGGGGGCGGATACAATCTCTAAAAATTAGAAAAATGGTTTCATTCTACCAATTGTAAACGCTTTCATGACTCAGAGTATAATCACCACTGTCTACATTTCGTGTATAACGATGAGATTGGAACCTTTGGTGTGAAAGTTGAATAACTTTTTCCGAGACCAATTGCCCTAACACCAAACTGATATTTTTGCACTCGACGCGCGTTTCGCCAACAAAGTTAGCATCCTCAGGAGAAGAAAATTGATACCTAGTCTAGTCTGGTTAGTTTCTAATATAAATCATATGCTTCCAGTTCTAGCATACTTCGTTTGCTGTACCGATTCTTGATTTCTAATGTCAAATACTTTTGTTTAGAAAATAGTAGTATTTTTTCTGCAACTGGTGAATCGTTCCTAATGCTGACTTGGACAAATTTTGGAAAAACTTTTTTGGAAAATTTTCTTCTCCTGAAGATGCTAACTTTGTTGGCGAAACGCGCGTCGAGTGCAAAAATATCAGTTTGGTGTTAGGGCAATTGATCTCGAAAAAAGTTATTCTACATTTCGTGTGATTCCGAGCACTCAATTTCATTTTCAACAAAAATTATCAAATGAATATAAATACCTGTATCTACAACGATGAAGCCTATAATGACAAGAACCACAAATATCGAGCAGAGTGAGTCCAGGGCCAATTGAAAAGCCTCCATTGCATATGTGGAAGTATAAAATGCCGAAGTATACAAATCTTGATGTCTATCAAATTCATCTTCAAGGATATCTTGCGCTTTGCAAGCTCTTATAGTGGTCAATCCCTCCAAAGACGCATTTAAGTGACCAATCATCGGACTTCGGGCTGCCAAATATCAGATAAATATTGAATTACTCATACAATTACAACTTAGACATAGTTTAAATATCATTGTCTTGCTATTCTTGTAGTATGCATGTAATTATAGTAGATATCATAATAATTATAATAATAATAAATTTGCTTTATTGTCCAAAAAAACTCTTATTGACAAAGCTTTGTTGAACATTGATTTTTGGAAAAAAAAACTATAGTCAAGTAAATGAAATCAGAATAATCAACGTCATTGTTTATGGTATCCTCTGCTGGTGAAATGTTGTCAACACAAATAGTGTTTTATGATGGAAGAAGAGAATTTTCGGGAACAGGTTTAATTGTCCATAATACCTCATATTAAAATCACTGAAACTGAGAATGCTCCTGAATTAAAAATATTTATAGTATAAATGATATATAGCATAAATATAAAAAATCTGCCACGAAGTGGCAGGAATATAAAAAATATTCGTGGATTCAATAAAGAATGATTGACATGTTGGAAACAATAAAAGGAAGGTTTTTGTGTTATTTCGAAACGAAATAGTAATATCTTTTTATATTTATGTATGTTCGTAAACTTCAATCGATTTAATATCTCAAAATGGTAATTTCTTCAATACTGTATCGTGATTGGTTGAATTCCGCCAAAAGTTACTCGAAAAAATAAATACGAGTTTCACTACAGTTTAGAATATGACCAGTGGACTAACAATCAAATTTTGTTAGGTATTCAATATACAGGATGTAACTGAATAAGTGTAAAACATTTAAGGAGGTGATTCCTCATCGAAAAAAAGATAGGATCTTTCATTTAAAGAAATTCTATTGGAGCATCCCTTGTTAAGATACAGCCCCTCAAAGGGGGTACATAAAATTTGTATAACAATTTTTTTCACAAGCACTAAAAAAGTAACAATATTGAAATTAACCTGACGTTTTGTACTTCCAAAAAGACACTTAGCCAGAAATTTATTTGGTTTACCCCATGGTAATTTTATTCATTTCCGTTAATCTAACCATTTGTCAGACTTGAAGTTAACGAACTTTAAACTTAAATCAAAATACTGACAACCAATGTTGTGACATACAAAAAAGTTGACAAGGCGTTTTGAACTAACGTTGCCACGAAAATTATGTTTTGAAGGATACCATCTAAAAAGAACACTGCTGTGGTTTTTTCTTATTATCAATACTTACACATGAACTAAATTTTGAGTGTATTGCAATAAGTTTTGAGTGTATTTTATCGAATTTCGGTAACAACATTATTTTAATTTATTTTATCTTAATTGTTGCGATGAACTTTTCATTTAAAAAATTGGGGGTTGTAGGTACCAGTCATTCGACGAGGGTTGCAGGTATGGGTGGCATTTTTAAGTTGTAGCATGTCAAATTATAATTTAAATTCGACGTGTTTCGGGATTTTGTTAAAATATGTACCGTAACCGAAATAATGAATGTATTCCAAACACTGTATAACTAGATATGTGCATCAAAAAACATTCATAACGTTATATCTCAAATTTAAGACTCACACGGATAGTATTTCATGGAAGCGAGTACGACTCAAAATCGTCGAGTCAACACTAATTTGTCTTCGATTAACCGAAATTATTCCAAGTTAGAGACACGTACTGTATCACTGATACAGTGCGTTCATCAAATCGAACGTATTTTTCCAAAAGCTAATTTATTTTTTATTTTTCGAAATTATTCCAAAGTAAAAACTCGCACTGTTCATTATGTCGAAAAAACTCACTTGCCGATTCCAATCTCTTCAAACTGCGTCCTGCTGGTAGATATAACAGCCTCAAAACAAACGACATTATAATGATAATAATAACGTATATGACGAATTTAATATTCACACTCACGATGAGCCACGAATGTCCAAAAACCATAACAGCTGCCTGAAAAATTGACGCTGAATTATTAAATATCATACTAGATGACAAGTATATCATTATGTACAGCTTTTGGGATGAGAAATTTCAAATTTGGATTGACGGTCTAGTTAGTTCATTGTAACCTGCATTCCTAATGGAATAAACAAAAGAAAACATCCACTGTTTCAATCGGAATATTAAATACAGTTCTCGTAATTTGTTGACCATTCGATACAATATAAATTTCTCTATTCAGCATATTCCTTTCAAAATGGCGGCGTAGGTGCCATTTTCTCCCAAATTCAATATTGTGACTTGCACTTTTTTCCGATCGAACCAAGTTTTCAATCGTTTCGTCATCAGAAATATCGGCTGCAATGATCTCCGTTCCGAATTTTAAATTCTTTCCTCCTCCCAGACAACTGAAACTGACCGGTATTTGGTCGTTTCACTGAATATGTAAAACAGTTTTCGGAATTTCCCATGAACAGCTTCGATTATTAAAATTTGTTTCTTTTTTTTGGTTGTTCAAAACAGAAACTCCAAAGCGACAAAGGATTGTTTACAGGGTGTTTCCCATCTACGGTGCAAAAAAAAGGGTGATTCATTAGGTTGTTTCGAAAAAAACAGTTCCCATGAACATATGTCCGGAGTTGCTTCGTTTTTAAGATACACGGCGTTGAAGTTCAGAAAAACGGTATTTAAAAAATATCATGAATATCCTTACATTGATTTGCTTGGAATTTTCTACAGTTATTTGAAGTAATAAGGCGCTTATTTAGCCCGAACTAGATGAACTAAAAGTAAGTAATGAACAAGTTCAACCTTCAAGTAAATGAGCATCGTCTGATAGAATACACCACTGCAAAGGATTTGTCATTGATTGTCTGACACGTTCAAAAATACCTGGAATATTCCTTATGATATTGCAATTGTCAATTATTCGATTCCTCAAGTCATTTACATCTAGTACAGGAATTTTGTAAACAAGAGCCTTCATATTACCATATGAATAGAAATCTAGAGGATTCATATCAGAACTGCGAGCCAATTTTAAGGTCCTGCACGTCCAATCCAGCGATCAGGGTATTTGATGTTGAGATACTAAAATGAGCTGGAGCCCCGTCGTGCATAAACTACATGTTGCCTCTTATAAGTACCGGCACTTCTTCTCACAAACATTCACCGAAAATTGTTACTGAATTGTTGCTGTTAAAACGTAGGGATTTTCGTCTGCCCAAAAATGGTCATTGTGAAAATTGATAATAACATGTCGTGAAAAATTTGCTTAGTCCATAAATAAAATATTTGGTAGAACATTATTATTGTGTGCTATCGTATGAATCAACCACCTGCGAAACACTAATCTTAGAAGGAAATCCCGAGTCAGCTGGGCTTGCACCCGATGTATGTGATAAGGTTTTTTTTTGGAACTATTCAAATAGTTCTTAAGCTGACTTCAAGCTGCAGGGCAATCACCCTGGTATATTATTTGAAGGATCTTTTTCTATCGCATCAAGTATAGCTTCTTCTAGTTCAAGCGTTGTTACAGTTCCTGGTCTTCCACCACCTGCATTTTTATTAAAATTCCCAGTTTCTCATAATCTTGCATGTAGCGTTCTGAATGTTTTAGCACATGGAATTACTCTGTCGAGATATCTAGAGCTGGAGCCCCGTCGTGCATAAACCACATGTTGCCTCTTATAAGTACCGGCACTTCTTCTCACAAACTGGGTGAATCATTCTTACCCAAACATTCACCGAAAATTGTTACTGAATTGTTGCTGCTAAAACGTAGGGATTTTCGTAGGCCCAAAAATGGTCATTGTGAAAATTGATAATAGCATGTCGTGAAAAATTTGTTTCGTCCATAAATAAAATATTTGGCAGAACATTATTATTATGTGCTATCGTATGAATCAACCAACTGCGAAATACTAATCTTAGAAGGAGATCCCGAGTCAGCTGGGCTTGCACCCGATGTATGTGATAAGGTTTTTTTTGGAACTATTCGAATAGTTTTTAAGCTGACTTCAAACTGCAGGGCAATCACCCTGGTATACTATTTGAAGGATCTCATAATCTTGCATGTAGCGTTCTGAATGTTTTAGCACATGGAATTACTCTGTCGAGATATCTGTCTTGGTAAATTATCCTTGCTTCCTACGCATTTCCATTTGCTAATCCATAAATGATGGCATGTCAGCCATTACAGCGTTAGTAAAATTATTCGTGATGGAATCACTGCTGATTGACAACTTTGACTTTCACGGATATCACAACACTATCTCTGTAAACTGTCAACTGTCAACTGTGCCTTCAATTTTTTTTTCTCGAAAACTAAGGTAAATATGAAGGAAACAAGCCACAAGTTGATGAATCGATAACAACATGTTAATGGCGTACTTTTTTTCAATATTGTTGGATGTGGTGCCAACTGAAACTCCACTGGGCAATTTAGTTAGGGCTGAATAAGAGCCTAATTACTTCAAATAACTAGCAAATTTCAACCAAATCGGTGTAATAATATTTATGATATTTTATAAATACCTTTTCTTAAACTTAAACGCCCTGTAGCTCAGAAACGAAGCAACTTGAGATATATATTCATAGGATTTTTTTTAAACGACCTAACGAATCACCCTCTGAAGTTTCGTATCGTAGTTGTGAAACAAGCTACATATTGTTTAAACGATATGTATCTATAAGGAAGCGTTGAAGGGGCCACATAGTTTCATTATTTGTTTCTCGAAAATCAAGACTTTGAAACTCGAAACTATGAATGCGCCGTGTCACAAATCAATGAAAAAGATGGTAAAATTGAGCTTTAAATTGCTTCTCATCCACCATATTCCCCCGTTCTGGCCCCCAGCGACTTTTTTCTGTTCCCAGACCTCAAAAAAATGCTCGCTGGAATGACATTTAGCACCGATGGTGCGGTTATCATCTAAACTGAGGCACATTTTGAGGCTAAAGACATCGTACTGTAGAAATGATATCGAAAAATTGTATGACCGCTTTAATCATTGTATTGCCCTGGAAGGCAACTATATTGGATGATAAAATCATCCAATATAGTTGATAAATGATAAATCAATCTGTGATCTCGAATTGAAAGAAAACACTTTCAAAATACAAATCATAAAATTCTAAAACAACACTAAAAATTAATTGGCGCTCCGGGGCGACTTCATTGATTCCAGTGGCGCATTTGCTTTTTCAGCTGCAGGAAAACTCGGAAAAACCTGCAGCACCACATCATCTGAAGATCTTGATCTGCCAATGTCCTATCTATCATAAAACAAAATGTAATGGTCTCCAGAGGCTCCAATGAATTCAAGACATCGTCAGAACACTTATTGACAAGACCAGTCCGTTTCGTCTTTGACCAATGCGTAATAATGACCAGATTCAACGCCAGAATCACATTGACAGAAGAAGCCAGAAGAACAATTACTGCATGAAGATTATAATAGTGGTCTGCTATATTCAAGTGTTTATCTATTTCAAACCTTCGTAAGAGTTTGATGCTTTCTTCAGAAGTTGAGTCATGTTTGAAGATCATCACTGTTAATATTGAATTGACTGGTGCCTCAGCTATACTTGATTTCTTATAACAGTCAGTTAGTTTGGCGAATGTTAGGCAATACAGTCGTTCATCACCTGTTGAAAGTTCCATTTTCAGATGATTTAACAGTAAGCTTTGCACGGACTGGTTATCAATCATATTAGTAAACGCTAGTTGAAGTTCCAGAAATTCACATACGTTTTTGCTACCTCTTGAATATTTACTACAAAGTAAACAAGTGAGGATTTTTCCAGCAAAAGATTTACAAACACAAGACGAGTTAGACTGTACGGAAGGATCATTCAATCCAAAGCAGCCAGGAGTATTGATTCTGCTATCGTTTTGCTCACGAAGAGTATTCAACAAGAACCCCAAGAATTCGGTACAATCCTCTTGTTGTCCTAACGAGTATCTAGTGGACTTCAAAAACTCCAAGAAATCGGTTGGAGGGAAAGATAATACATTCTTAAGGGGCGAGTGGCGGGGGAATCACTGTCTCTCTCTTATGGGTGTTTGACAGGTCCCCAGTGCAGACCACACGACACTCACCCAATAAAGTCATCGGTCAACCACCCAATCCCGCACCCAATCTCGCAAGAGCCCTCGACGGTTACTCATCCAACGTTGGAAAGGTAGCTTTCCTAACATGAGCGCCCTTCGGAGTAACGTAAGGGGAATGCGGTGCAGACCCCACGACGTACACCCAAAAGTTGTTAGCGAACCGCCCTATCCCGCTCCTACACGGGTAATGGGCGCGACGTCTTCGACATAAGATGTGTGGTAGAGGATGTTCGAAAGAGTCCTCGACGGTTACTCATCAAACGTTGGAAAGGGAACTTTCCTAACATGAGTTCTAAGGGGGAGGTGAGTTTCCGCTCGCGGCTGGAGGCTAGCGAGCCTCATCTCCAACTGGCGTTGGCCTCTTAGGGGCAGCGGCTCCACTATCGGCTAAAGGGATAGGGTTGCGGTAATCCATTCATGGGTGCATTGCAGCCACATTACTGAGGCACTGGACGGCCTATGACGTTCCGTGATCCTCGCCTGCTTCTGTACGGATCCAAGCGTTCGAGGTGTCGGGGCTCGCGGTCCTTCCAACGAGCACCTTCCAATGAGTATCCGAGTCTAGCCTTGCAGGGCACCAAGGCAGACAATATTCCCAATTGATTTGGCAAGGTTGAAGTGGACAGGTGTACGACGCGAGCACTCTCTGGCGAAAGACGAGCTTAGTTAACTTGTACGAACGTTCGGTCGAACGCTGCCGATGGTCCTGTCTCTTGGTTAGCCACTCTAAGTAGATGTAAGGAGGCAACTCAGGGTTCGGCGAAGCGGGAGGAAGCCTTGCGAAATCCTGTTGGTGTGGGTGAGGGGCGGTACCCGCAAGGATTTCCCGAGAATCCACCCCACCACGTCCGATCGCACCCAACGCCAGGGTGCCCCCCAGACCCCCCGGTGCGGTCGTAACTATGACTCTCTCAATGCATCTGCATGAACAGGTGTTTGAGTTTGGTGAATAAGTAGGAAACATTCTCGTTCTCTTTCATCATTAAAACCTCGTTAATTATTCGTCATGAACAACACTTGTAAAATGCTATTCATGTAGCAAGTGTTTCCTAAATTATCTAATACAATTTTCTTCTCAAGATTTTCGGGACAACTCTCTACTGATTCGTAAGGAAGAACGTGTTTCACAGAATCTGCATAAGAACCATTTCTCAAGCTGCAATCGATCCTTCCAAGTGAAGAAGGGTTTCGTAGAGGGATCGATTCGGCTCTTGCTTCATGAAGCTCTTCCACTGAAATGGAACCAGAACCAGTAGGACTGCAACTCATACTTGGGGAAAATTAAATTTGAAAATTCATTACAATAGAAGCTGTTCATGACAACTTCCGAGAAAAATTCTCCATTGAGTTACTTACCCGAAAACTTTCGTCAATAACAGTTGGTAGGTACTCGTCAACATTCACCAAATCTTGAGAGAACCTGTTAAGAATATTACCGATGAAATGAGTATCGTAAAATGCCATTGGAGCTCTGACAACCCTGTTTATCATTTTCTTGTGCAGATTTACAGATGAGCGTCTGCAGAAATTCAGAACAGCGAAACATTTCACTAACAACAATGCATTCGATGACAGAAGCAGAACGGAATAAACCAAGAATGAATATTGTTCTTGCGACTCAGCTTCTTCATAGGATTTTTGTAGAGAATTAATTTTATCGGCTATCGTACTGTTCGAATAGTTAGTTTGCAATCCAGCAATAGTTTCTCGTAAATCCAAAAAATGTTGTCTTTTATCAATCCTGAAATAATATAAAAAGATACAGTAAAATAAAAATACCTCTCGAAGATTGTTTAAAGTATAAGCATAACATGACAAAATGGTTCCTTTAAAATTGATTTTTTTCCATTGTTCGAGTTCTTGAACTCGATTTATCCGATTGTTCAGTCACCATGATAACATCACAAATATACAGTTAGCAAGGAGATCATAAATACAAATAAATTCACACTTACAATAAGCGGACATAATTACATATACAAAAGCAACAAGATTTACACCACTAAGTCAAATAACATTGAACAACAAAACTACGATGTGCCAATTAAATGAATAAAGTAACATGGCGGAAAAACAAAAAGAAAAAATTTTTACATTTTGTACATGAAATTACAAGGACTACCTCTAAATATATAAAGAATTAGGCATACGTTATATGACCGCCGCCAAAGATAGAGATCTCAGCAAAAAGAATCCTGAAAATATTCTTCCAGGGTATAGTAGGCCCTCCCAACTATGAGCGTTTTTACAGATTTTCTGAACTTGACTTCGCTTTTGATGACACGCAAGGTTAGGGGAAGGTGATTGAAAATTTTCTTGCCCTCAAAAATTAGAGAGTTGCGAATTAAGGTTGAGGAGGGAATTGGAAGCGAGATCAAGTGAGAGAAGCGAGTGTTATAGGTTGACTCAAAAGTAATTATAGCTTGGTATTTCTTGTGCATGAGGCAAGCCATTTCCAAAATGTAGATACAAACCAATGTCAGAACTCCATGTTGCATAAACAAGGGACGACAGAATTCACGGTAATCAGAACTACATAGGTATCTAATTGCCCTTTTTTTGGAGAGAGAATACTCTTTGGAATAAATACTGAGCACAAGCGCCCCAGAAGCAGATTCCATAACGAAGATGAGATTCTATTAGTGCGTAGTATACGTTCTTCGCTATACCCAAATTCAACTCATTAGCAACGACACGAACCGCAAAGCAACCTAAAGCTAATCGATTGCATAGTTTTGTAAGATGGTTACCAAACTTCAATTTATTATCGATCAGAAGTCCCAGAAATTTATTATCCGTAGAAATGGACATTTGTTCCTTGTCCAAATAAACATCATCTAAGTCGCCCTTGAATATTATGATATTTGTTTTGCTTATATTGAAAGTTAGAAGATTGGAATCACACCAATTCTCAACTTTTTCTATATCTATGCTTATGTGGTAGTTAAGCTCTGAAGAGCTTTTGTTGTGCCATAGAATCGATGTATCATCTGCAAAAATAGTAATTTCACCATTGATGTCTAAGTTGGTGAGGTCGTTAATATAAATGAGAAATAGAGTCGGACCCAAAACTGATCCTTGAGGAACTCCACCCTCAATTACTCGCTTTCCAGACTTAATACCATTAAATGATACAATTTGGCCACGCTCCGATAAGTACGACCAGGACAGTACCGTGCCTCGAAACCCATAAACTTCAAGTTTGCGGAGCAGTATTCCATGATTTACGCAGTTGAATGCCTTTGATAAATCAGAGAATATCGCCGCTGCAGCCTCTCGTTCATTTAAATTAATATAAAGAGATTCTAATAAAGTGAAAATGGCGTCCTGAGTGTTCTTAGAACATTGAAATCCATATTGGCGGTTACTAAGAATATTAAATGTTTTGAGAAATGCTGTCATTCTCCTGTTCATAATTTTCTCGACAATTTTTGACAGAACAGGTAGTATAGAAATTGGTCTGTAGCTGGAAGGCGACTCGAAATCACCACCCTTGTGAAAGGGAATGATAGTTGCCAATTTGAGGCACGACGGAAATGTCCCACAGGACGACGACAAGTTAATTGTTCCAGCTAGTACATTCAGAGCTATATCAGGTAATTTGAGAAGGATATTCACTGAAATATCGTCCCATCCCGAGGAGGATTTGTTTTTTATTTCACTCATGACTTCTTTTACTTCGATAAAATCAGTTGGTACAAAAAAGAAAGTTGGTTGGAGCGGTAAT